CTTCTTGGGACACAAACAGCATCTCGGTCGTGATAAGGAAGTGTTTTAATGTCGAGTCCACGAACCAAGCTTGCCCATGCGATGGTGAAGAAGGTAATGGAYTGGCCATCAGTAACACGGTGGTGTGCAGTTAAGCCTATCACGACACCACCACAGGCGTAACGATTGAGCTGAATCTGCAGTAATTCCTCAACACCATCTAAAGGTGGGAGGAGCTTGCCCAGGTCCGAAGCCGGAGTGAAGGGCAGCTGCTCGGCAAGGGTTGTTGGTATGTAAGTCTCGATTACGCGGATACCGGCGTTGTTTAGAGTGATGCAAGTGCTGCCTTGATCGTCGGTCACGTACCGACCGGCGAGGTGGGGATAGTGGACAAGGGCTTTGGACAGTCCATCCTTCAGGACTTCATTGGATGGCATTGGTGCTCYGAAGGCATACAAGATGGGGACATGAATATCAAAGGCTGCTTTGTCGAAGATGTTGAGAGGTATCAGAGCATTCGTGGTGGGATAATCTGAGGAAGAAGCAGCCTTCAAGAGGGTATTGTTGATTAAYCCAATARCCATTTCTGAGCTTTTCGTATACAAAGTCTAATGCAGCAGGCTGTAGGAATTGCTTTCTAATAAATTAACTAAGGCTAGCTAGCTAGCTCGATGTGAGTCTCTGAAACAACTGATTTGATTATTTATATAGAGAAACAATGAAGCCATGGTCAAGCCACCATGTTTAAGTTGCAAGTGATAAAGGTTTGRATATAAAGAATTAATTGTTGGAAGGTGAAGACCGGAAATATAGTTGATGGATCCTGGTTTCCGGATTTCATCCGTAGTCAAGCCACCTGGCAGGGCGGGGTTGGTGAAGGTCAAGACACCCAGCCCCATGAGCCTGTACTCCTCGTCTCTTAAATCCTAATATTACTACTACTATACGATGTAAGCCGTGCTCATCAATCTGATTATGCTCTATTGTTCGTCAGACATATTCTTCTGATTGAGGCGTCATGATGCTTATTTATTTATTGGCCTGATCAATGGGTCTGGTCCCACAAGATGGGCTAATATAAAGTATCGGGAGGGAGGCTAGCGTCAACATTCTAAACAGAATTAGGACTGCTGGGGATAATATATTACACRTTGAGATGATGCAAGACTGGTCTTCAACTCTCCACATTCAATCTTTACATTTTGGTCAAAATTTACAACCATGCTAAATCATCAGTTTTTGAAAGCCCGACTCGAAAACGGAATTGTTGTGGCCATCCTTTTGGGATATGCGGTTAAATCGTTCAGGTCAAATGGTTTGACGTGTGATGTCATAAATATAATAATACAAATATAAATATTAATAATTATATTATAAAATTAATTTTCCCTAACTCAGTTTGGAAAGTACAAATACAAATATCTACAGTACCGAACTACAATTATATTCGTATAGTACTAAACTGTATATTATATTTATATTTCTAAACTTTGTATTTCTAATATTGTAAATATTTACATTTATACTTTTTCCAAATTAATCCCAATATTTACCCTTTAACAGAGCAATTCCTTCCCTAGTTTACTTTAATTATATTGTTAATCTTGTCTAAACGAATCAAATAGTTGGATTATCCTACTAATTATGTTGCTCGGTCTTGCCTTTGCACAGCACAATCATGTTGCTGCATGTCTCACCTGACCCCAGAGTCCAATGGAACTGAGGTTTGAGATTAGGTCAAGAAAAAGAGATGGAGAGAAAATCGAGGTGGCTTAGTTGGTATGTTAGCTGATTTATTCCGGTATAGATGTGGAATCGGTTCCTGAAACCATCAACTATGGGAAAGGTGGTTATTAATTAGTGGTGTCATCAAATTCCGTGAATAAGACATTTAAATAGCAACCCGTAATCCATTACACAAAATCCATTACACAGGTTGAATGGTGTAACGGTTTAACCGTCTGAATCAATGGTTCTTTAACTAAATCAATAATTTTCTGAAAAAATTAAAACAGGTTGGGCCTTAAATGAAACTAGCTAACTAGGAATGATTCTTACATCAAATGGTTCGACCACCTAGGTCAACAATATTTTCAAAACAATGATTTCTTGCTGGTTTTTAAATGCTATTAATTGGGAATTAATAAATCCGTTTATCCTATAATCACAAGGATTTAAGTGTTTATATTATGTAATGGTTTATAACCTGTGGCCTAGTAACCCAATGACCTTACCGGGTCCCAATTAAATAATTAGAGATATCAATGGATTGGGTCAGGTTCGGGATAAGATGTGCCAGTCCCATTTCGATTATTAATCGGGACAATAATTAAGGGCCCAGAGCCAAAATAATTATTAATCGGATCAATCAGGTCTAACCCTAATAGGTCAGATTATACTTGACACCTATAATTACAAAATTTCATTTTGATATTATAACTTTAAGAAAATAAAAACTATTTAAAATACTAAACTGTTTACATGTATATAAAATGTTTTTTTTTTTTACACTGGTTTTAATCATAATTATCTTATATATTTATTATGAATATTTATTCTTTTGGACATAAAAACATAACACAAATTACAAAATAATCAATAAATGTTTATATACACTATTAATTACATAATCAGCTCATAAAAATAAGAACCGGTTCCGACCCAATTAATAATCGAGGCAAAACTACAAATCTAGAAACAACGTAATCGATTTGGTCAGTTTGGTTCTGTTGGATAAACTCAATCGACCCATTGACAGTCTCACAAGGCTGTGTTTGATTGCAATGCAAATAAATTTGTACTGCTGCAAAATTATAGTAGTGTAAATGATTCAAATGTAAATTCTGACCTATTTTGATTTCAAATTTTAACTTATTTTGTTTGATTGCAGTGCAAATAAAGTTAATTAATTCCTGAAACAGATTAAAATAAAACCCAAAACAAAATTAAATGAGAATTTGCATTTTTTTTCATTTGCACTTTTATAATTGTAATAATGCAAATAAAATTGCACTGCAAACAAACACAGCCTAAGTAATAATTTTCACGATTTAAAGGAAACTGAGACCCAATTAGCATTCTAGTTTTATTTTCGATACAAGTTCTAAAATTAGGGTCCATTTGGTTTGCAGTTAGAATCGGAATTGAAATTGAAATCTTTCGGAATCAGAATCAGAATGGTCTATTCCCATAGTTTGTTTGGTTTAGATAGGAATGAAAATGGGAATTAAAATCAGCAAGAATGGGATTTCATTCCCAAAGAAAGGGCAGGAAGTGACCATACCCTCAAATTGGGGAATGCCATTTCAATAGGAATATGAATGAGATTCCGATTCCATCAAACCAAACAGTTGGAATCAGAACAGTCTATTCCAATTCCAATTTCTATTCCCATGAACCAAACTGGGCCTTAGCTTTTCTGTTAATTTCTAAACAAAAAAGCAACTCATCTAATCATACCCACCTTGTATTCTTTCTTGAGGCGTTCTTATTAAATCATGATCGTAGTCTCCGATGTCTTACCATCCAAGCGTGGCTGGTAGAGTGGTAGCCTAAATTTTCAATCGCAAGAGAAATACATTTAAAGGTCACACGTTCTGACCGACGGCTGTGAAGCCAATGAATCACAAACCTAGATTTCCTATTCACTTTCTCTACACACGCTCTGTTCACAATGTGGGTAAAGATCTGATAGGCCTTAGTCCTATCAGTAAGTGGATTTTTCGATCTGATCCGGTTCAATTCGTTATAAAAAATAAATAATATAACAAATTTATAAAAATACAATATAAATAATATATTTATAAATAAATAAATAACATTTATGTGTGTATTATATATACATTTATATAAATAAATATATAACATATATAGGATCGGATAGGGGTGATCCGAATCTGATTTGATTTCTGATCAGAGCCTATTATCCAATCTGCTCTAATCCCATGATCCAAACAGGGGTGGTTCCAAATTCGATCAAATAAGATTGGATCTTGGATCATGATATGATTCATTTGCACCCCTAGTAGAGACTAGTGGGCAGGAAATCCAGTTTGATGAATCACACCATTGGGCCTGGTTTATCATTCTGGGTATACGTAACTATGTCTCCCATGATGGAAACAGTGTAACCTTCACCCCACTACAATAGGTCTTTAAGCTCAGTTTGGAAAGAGTACAAATATAAATATGTACAATATAAGTATATACAAATTATGAAAATAATACAAAATACAAGGTTTTACACTCTACATCATGGTTTTTAAAAATGAATCGGTAACTGAACCGGTCAGGTGTCTGGTTACCGGTTCGAACGGTCAGACCGTTTGACCCAAACGGCCAGCCCATTCTGACAAAAAAATAAAAATATTAAAAAAATTAAAAAATTAGAAAACGGTCAAAACTGTTCGAACTATTAACCGGCCGGTTCAGCGGTTTGCTGACCAAAATCGACGGTTTTGAGGGAAAAAGCGGTTTTGGAGGAAAATGGACCTGGTCAGGTGACCGATTCCCGATTTTTTCTGGTCCGACCATCTGGTCCGGTCCAATTTTGAAAACAGTGCTGTACATATTTGTATTTGTACTCCTAAACTGAGTCTTAATATCATATCTTAATAAGTTTTGCTGTCAAATACTACACCAACCGTCCTATGTAGTGGTGAATATGGGCTGGCTGGAATGGGCTTAGCGGCCGTAACCTATCCCCGGCCCGGCCCATTCCAGAACCCCAGCTGAAATACAAGTCTGATGGAGCTGGGCTTTCAGGCCAATACATTTTGACATGCGAGTTGCAGGCAAGCCTTGGATTGTCTCACCAGAACTGCTAGCATGCAATTTTACAAATTGTCCATTATAATCACGACAATTCTTTACAAGACTTTCAGAGAAGAGGCCATGACTGGAAGGACTGAGATGGCTTTAGATGAGATTGGACATCCAATTGCTAACTGCTAAGAAAGAGAAATGCTGACAAGAATTTATCAGTAACGACAATGACAACCACCACTAAGACATGTCAATAGAAAGAAAAAAAAAATAGAAAATTGGGGTCCAATTACTAGAACAGATTGAAGAGTTTTACACTAAAAAAAAGAAACAACCACCCTATTCCCAATCTCCATCCTTGTGACCACTTAAGCTTCCATTACCACAGTCTCCTCCACTCTTTTTTTCATGGTCACCACCTTATATTTAGCAACCTCCCATCTCTATCACCAACCACCATCTCTTTCAATTCCACCAGACGTCTCCATTTTCTTCTGCTGCAGAATACAAGGTGGGAACTAGGAATAGCAACGGGGCGGGGCGGGGATGGGGTGCCTCTTCCCATTCCCATCCCCACAAAAATCCCCATCTCCGTCTCTATCTTCATCCTCGTTAATGGGGACAAAGTTATCCCTATCCCTGTCTTCATGGGGATCCTCAACTCTGCAGGGATCCTCATTCTCCATGATTTTTTTATAATGATAATCATTTTGTTTTTGTTTCTTATTTTATTTAAAAAAATAAAAATAAAATAATTAAAATTTATAATCCTATTAGAAAAGATTCAAACATATTCAACCATACTTTAATATATATATATATATATATATATATATATATATATGTACAATACATATATACATATATATTAGTGGAAATCGAATGGGGAGGAGA